CTATACCATGCGCGACCCTCCCGTTTTAATTTCATCCCCCGCGGACGACTGGGTGCCGCGTACGGATGTTTTAAAAAAATATGCGATTTTCTTGGCGGGAAAGCTATTTCGGGAACCACACGAGCTAAGGAGCTGAAACTTTGTCAGGATATTCCCTGTGTATGTACTAGCTAAAGATTTCAAACTCAGCTCCCACTTGTGCGTAGTACTCATGTAAGAGCGCATGAAAGTTTTAGAGGGAAAATTCCTAACTCGGGTACCTGAAAAGCTAGAAACCTGAAACTTTGGGGGAATGTTCCCTACCCAAGCACTACTCAAATATTTCAAATTCATGGTACTCACGCAAGGGTGTATGAAAGTTTTAAGGGGAAAGTTGCTAACTCGGGTACCTGGGAAGCTAGAAACTTGAAATTTTGAGGGGATGTTCCCCATCCAAGTACAACTCAAATGTTGCAGAATCAGCCCCAAACCTTGCGTTGTACTCACTTAGGGGCGTATTGAAGTTTCTGCAGGAAAATTGCTAATTCAGCAACCAGAAGAGCTGGAAGGCTAAAATTTTAAGGGGATATTCTCTGTCCAAATGCAATTTAAAAATTTCAAATTCAGCTTTCCAGGCACGTGGAATACCCACATGCGGGTACGTGAAGGTTTTGGCAGGAAAATCGCTAACTCGATAATCAGAAAAGCTGGAAAGCTGAAATTCTGGGAGATTGTTCCCAGTCCAAGTACAGTTTACGTATTTCAAATTCAGCTTGGGGTATGCTTGTGGTTCTTACGTACAGGCAGTTAAAAATCTTGGCGAAAAAATTTCTTACTGAACAACTAAGTTACTTTTAAAGAACGACTGTTAAATGGAAATTATACATTACTTTGCAAAATTTATGGTGATTTATGCTAGTGACCGCAGCAGGTAGGTGTAAAGCAAAGCCATTCATGCAGTTAATGACCTAAGTACTTCAAGTCCGGTGCAAAAACGCATGATCGCACGGGCCCGCCTGGTGCGTTCCAGCCTAGGTTATCCTTTTATTGATGCATTTAATTCAAAAAGCGTCTGAGGTAAATTCACCTTTTTTGTTCAAATAATCATACAGACGCTTCCACACCGTAGTGTTAAAAAGTGAATCAATGAATTCATCCACTGCTTTCTTCTTCTGCAAAAATGATTCATTTTTGGAATGAAATCTCCCAACTCGGAGAGAAGTCTAATTCGGAAAGGAGTCTTATTTTATGCTCTTTTTTCCAAAAAATAAGAATAATGTATCCTACCTGGCTAAGTTCGCAGATGAACAGAGGATCAGTTAAAAATGTATGCCGGTGGTACTAAGTGAACATTAGAAAAAGTGCGACAGAAGAATTCACTTGAACGCTTGAGGAAGATGTTGAGCTCAGAATCAAGTAGAAGGGAGAATTGTCAACTGCTTGATGGCACGGGAGAACACAGCTATTCATTATCAAATTTTTGAGATTCCAGAAAAGCTGAAGCGTGGCTCCATTTCACTGATGTCGAGAACTCCACATTGATAGTTTTCGCTAGTCCCCTTCTCTCCGCTAATCTTGAACATAATGCAGCGAGAAGAGGCCAGGATGAGCACATATTGTACGCGAAGTCTTTTTGTGCATTGCACTTGCGAGTTTTACTTCTTTTGGAGAAAATATTCATGAACACTTGGATTCATTCCAAAGTCAGGATCTCCGACAACCATGGAAGCGAAGGCATTTGGAAGTGTCTTAAGTGAGAGCGCAATGCCTCTATTACTAAACACCTTACTGCCCGGAGCATGAGTGTCAGTCCTGTTATCATTTCAGTTATTCGGTAATTTTCCTCTTTAAAACCACTCAGTATTTCGAAAATTTTAGTCGGAAAAAATTGGAGTGACGCTATTTGCAACGAATAAGCAAACCGTGGATGTTTCTTTCTCGGCGATGCCGGTCTGTGGCTCGAAAAACTCAGTAAGTTTCGCGAACCTCCTATACGTCTCCTTCTCGAGCAGTTTTGGATCCACATATTTGAACAATCTAAATACGCACTAATGATTAGCAAGGCAGGTTATTTTGCTTTTAAGAACACTGGTACCTTGGGTTTGAAAAACACACTGATGTACAGTAGTAAAGGTGATCCGCAACGGATCAGAGATAGAAGATGAGGTGCTTTATGTTGACCTCGCCAAGGATTTTTGGTCAAGCAAGATCAGATGAGAGCATTCAGATTCACGAACTTCACGGTCTTCTTTTGCTGCATATTCGGTGCTTGAAAGTCCAGCTCAATTTGCCCCGGACCAGCTTTATTGACATCCTTGATACGTAGTTCATCCACCAACAATTTTAATTCGCCTTCTGGTGGCCGAAATTCTGAATTTTGAAAAGTAACTTTAAAAAAAACTTCCAACTTCTCGCACTTTAATTCTCATATTTGTGTAACAGTGTCTCTTAAGACATAAAAAGGATGTTAAAATGAGTCAATAATTTATGAATATATAACTACGGTAAGAAATGCAGCTGAGGATAATAGGGCCAGGCGTGAGGAAGCATAAGAACATCACTAAAATGAAACCTCCACAGCAACTGCCCGGGAAATCTTGCTATTCTTCATGCTTTTTACTGAATAATTATAAATTTATAAATAAATGCATAAGAAATAACGCAAAAGAAATTAGAGGAACCTGGGACTTTTTCGGCGCCGTTCACAAAACAGTGTAAAATAACAGACGCGTGCAGTAGTAATACCTTGGTTATGATCATTGTGCACATTACGCATGAACCTTCAAAATCAATCTTTTAGACAATCGATATCGCGCACTTTCGTGGAATCAAAGGGAATCAATTGACTTTCGCTTTCAACTAAAAAAATTTATAAGAGTAATCAAAAAAATTATCAGGATATCCACTGATTTTTCCCATGATTACTGTGAATTTTCGAAAAGCGAGCACGTATTAGCATAATACCATATTTCAGTAGTCAAAAACCCTTCTCTTTATTCGCCGTCAGTGAAACAGAGGCATTCGTGAAGTAGCCCGTAGCAAATGCCAACAGCAGCCATTCGCTGGGAAGGCTATCGATGGCTTTTTCATTCGAGATTAATTGTAGGCAAGCTGATGGCAGGTTTGACTTCTTAGTGCATGTTAATACCAATTTTGCCGTCGAAACGAATGGATCAGCCATAGCGAGATTTTTTTTCTCACTGGTGGAACTAAGTCTTCGAACTACTGCACGAAAACAGTGCTATCTTACTGCCCCTATTTGCCGGCTAGATCAGAAAATTTTAGTAATCCAAATTTAAGAAGGAAGAGCGGACGCCAGCATCGGTCATGAAGTACTAGTAAAACTAGCCTTTTTGACAGCTACAGAGGTGGAGAATTAGACTGTCATTCCTTCAGGTATAATATCTTAATATGGCCAAGAGATAGTGTGATAAGTAGAGCAACATACAATGTGTTAGTAAGTTAGTATGATAAAAATTTAATCCCGAGAGAACTTTTCGAAATATTGTTCAAATTTTCGAAAGAAAAAAATCCGCGCTCCTGGAAAAGAGTGTATCTGGTTTTAGCTTACGAACGGTATGGAGCGGTCTGTGAGCTAGTGTGCGCCCTATACGAATTTTGATACTTTTAGCACAGTATCAAAGTTTGTATAGGGCACAGGATTTTTAATACCAAGAAAAAACCTTTATCGAACAGATAGGAACTGAAACAGACTGGATGAAACAAACTATCTGCTTTTCATCCTGCTGATGCGTCCTGAGAATGAGTGGCTTAATAAAAGTTAGGTTGAGCAAATTCAGTAAAAGTTTGCTATGAATCACAATCATAGTTTTAGGCCGTCAATATTTTTTAATTTCTTTCACTGAACAGACGGTAGGCACTAATTGATTGCCTGCGGTCCAGGATCGAAGGACCCGGCATACCTATACTCAGCGCATGAGAACATCCCACCAACATGGGATACCAGTACTAGCAACCCGGGCCGCCTTGCAGATATCAGTCTTAGAAATTTTTCAGTTTCATGTTGATACATTTTCCCTCTTTTATGCTGTCAATTTTGATTTACATGTTACACTGTACCATTGGTGAAATTTGATAACAAATGACTGATTGAAGGGGAAGATGGGATCAAAGACAAGGAATAAGGTTCAGGAACCCAGGACGCTGGTCGATTTGAGGTGAGGAAGGGCGAGATGCGAGTGATAGTGGCAGTGCTTGAGGAATACTAGGCCAGCCACATGGCGTTGATTGATGCATCAGCTGCTCGGCCGCATCCAAACACTGGATGACTGCTTGAAAAATCTGTCGGGCCCGGACGGCTTTTAAATGCAGTCCTTTTTAAATGAAATGAATTAAGTGCAATATCTGTACGTCATCCATTCCAAATTCGCTTTTAAAATGAGATCTGTGAACCGTTCATAAGCAAAAAACCCCAGATATGGATCAAAAAGCGCCCTTTATTGTGCAGTCAAACACATCCAGTTTTGCTAGAACACTGAATTTCTGAAGCTGCAAAAATCTTTCGCCACCAGCTTGCTTCAAAGCAACTCTCTTATCGACTGTCTTGTTGGATTTGCTACCAAACGTCCTGCTTGAGGTTACGAAGTAGAGCTGTTTTGCTAGTGTTAATGAATGAAATGTTCGCTGCCCAAATACCACGTAATCGCACAATTAACTTTTCGAACTTCGAGGACCAGTATATAAAAATTTCTGGTTTACTGGGTTTCCGAGCGATCTCATTACAGTGCGAAATGCTACAAAAACGCACTACCCCACGGGCCCACTTGGTGCGCGTCGCCCGTGATTTTTGTACTGTTCCGCTACCAAAAGATTTGATCCAGCTGGGGGCCATCCAAAGTCTGAAATTATCTCAGCCCTTTCAGTGCTGTTTTTTATAAGATGGAAAAAAAGTGGATTTTTATGCGTTTTGTGCTGTGTAACAGTAGTACAAAACGCATGTTGTCACGGAGTCTGTGTGTGTTTGTGTGTGTGTGTGTGTGTGTGTGTGCGTGTGTGTCCGCAGCAACTTGTCCGCAACTTTCAACTCGGAAACCACAAAAGCTAGGGAGCTGAAAATTTAGGATAACGTTCCCCACCCACGTGTTACCC